CATATTCATGTAATTGTCATATGCAGCACGTTGCAAAATGTACTATGCAGCCTCTGTTACTTCTCTTCGTATGAGCAACATGGGCCACTTTTAAGAAAGAGTCAGCTGTGCCTGTAATGTCTGCTTGAACAAGAGCCTCTACCCAACCACTTCCTTGGTCCTCAAGAATGCCATCTCAATGTGGAGACCCCCAAAAAGAATCACAATTTCACCATATCTATTTGGCCACTTCCACTGTATTTGCTTGGCCAAGGCAAATAGTGGCTGGTCAAAGGGGTTCACAGGGGTTTGCTCTGGATGCAAATGACTAATTGCATTTCTGATGACATCCATTGAGTGCCTGATCATTGCAACTGTGTGCATGATGTAATGCAGGTGGCATCAATGTCCAGTGACTGCTGAGTTGCATGGTATGCAGCCCGTGACAAATCACTGAGATCTCCAGCTTTGTCACTTGTTGATCTGACATATTCTGTCCATTCAAACTCCTGCTTAATATACCCAGCATTGTGCCTGCTCAAGGACTGAACATGGGATGATGGTACAGATGAGGTCTTAATGTTGTAGTTGACAGGGAAGACATCTGTATAGTTTTGAGGCAAAAGGTAGATTGTTTTTGAAGCATCGTGGCTTATGAGATGAAACAATTTTTCGACGCTCTCCTTTCCTCTCTGAAGACGGATGTTGAAAGAGGGAGATGGAGGTTCCGTGAAAAGAATACTTAGCTGTTGTTGAAGATGGATCATGATCAACATTATCAATAGCTGCAGTTGTGAATAGATTACCACATGACAGGACAGACCACATGTGGACAGTTTTCATCTCTGTAAAGACTACAACATGATATAGCCAGCAGCCACATCACCCTGTAGCCCAAGACTGGTTGCCCACTGAAGCTAAGCAGGGCTGAGCTTGGTTAGTACCCAGATGGGAGACCTTCTGAGAAAGCCAGGTTGCTGCTGGAAGAGGTGTTCGTGAGGCCAGCAAGGGGCACTCACCCTGTGGTCTGTGTGGGTCCTAACACCCCAGTAAAGTGATGAGGACACTATACTGTCGTGATGAGATGTTAAACCGAGGCCCTGACTCTCTGTGGTCATTAAAAATCCCAGGATGTCTTTCGAAAGAGTAGGGGTGTAACCCCGGCATCCTGGCCAAATCAAATTTGCCCAGTGGCCTTTGTCCATCATGGCCTCCTAATCATCTCCATATATATATATATATATATGGAGATGATTAGGAGGCCATGATAGAGATTCCCCTCTCTATTTAAAGCGCTTTGAGTGCTGAAAAAAGCGCTATATAAATGTAATGAATTAGTATTATTAATTAAGTTATGCAAAGGACTAGTCACATCTGGTCCTAACTGCTCTTCACCTGGTGAGGTGTCATTTGGGATCTAGCTCTATTTTACAAAGAGGCCAAACATTTGGAATGATACTTGGCCTCTAAAGCCAACATGTCACCTCCACTGAGCTGTGCCAGAAGATTGATGTCATTGAGGACAACGGCACACTTTCAAACTTTTTCATCAATTTGAAATGTAGCAGCCTTATGAAGTCTCTCACTACCTGCAGGTTCTCTCCACATTAAGTCTTATCGATGTCATCACTGAATGAGGTTTTTAAAACTAATTTTATTCATTTTCTAGTGTCATGCTCATCAGTTGTAGAAGCTCTCTTCTCAGCTCTTTGTAGCATTTGATTGTTGAATCTAAGGCGACATGTATAATTTGTGATATTTTGCATTGTTCCTAATAAATGTGGCCTCTATACCTTGCCCTTTATCTAACTGTGCAATCTGTAAAGATATCGTTGTTTAAGTTAATCAAATTTTAATAGATTCTCTGCCAGATTTTTGTAACATTCAGTATGGGCTATATGCACGCATGAGTTCCGCATTTGACGTAAGGATGCTCGTCCATTTCCGGTTGTGTAGATTAAAGCGGAGGAAAACCGGAGAAAACGGGATTATGGCAGAGTCTTCAATATTTACTGTCCTCTCGTCTTTGAAACGAAACGTACATACGTTTAGATGTAATTTTATATATAGTTATGTTTATTTAATATAATTTTAAAAAGAAGCATAAACACAACGAGGGGTGTCTGTTTTATCTGTTTTTGTGACTAACGTTTCATTAGTATAACCATGGAGTATAAAATTCAATATAAATTCTCGGTATTGCATTGGACTCTATGATCGGCGGAAGTTATCGAGCATCCTTAATCCTTCACCGGAAATAACGCCGTGCATAGAGCCCATTGACCTGCCATTGGCAATTTGATGGGCATCTGAGTGGCTCTTGAGTATTATTCTGACAAATGAAACACAGTTCCCAGTCAGTTATTTGTGTTGGGGGATCAGTATATCCAGGATTAAATAATTTGAAGGTTTTAGTCATTGCATTGGATCAAAGTAGTTCTTGTGTAGTGGTCTAATTGTCGTAATCATGCTAATCGTGCTAATTTATGTTTTTCTTGTGAGGAAAACTCGGTCTACAATGTGATTTGTAGGCCTACCTACTAAACCACTTGCAAATAATCCAGCAGGACTCAACAGTTCTTACAATTAATATTTATAGTCAAGTTTAGAGCATTTGGAGAGCAAAGAAGTCGTACAAGAGCACAGAGTTACAATGAAATAAATGGGATGAATTGCAGCTAGTTTAGACAACCAGCCTAAATGAAATTCTGTGGAAATGTACACCTACTTTATTTCACAGAATCCCAACTCTAAATTCATGCAGACTAAAATCTATTCCATGTTATATTTGCCTGTCTGAGTTATGTTTGCTTACTTGCAGTATTAGCCTACACTATTTTTACTGAGTAACAGTGAGAAACACAAACTGACTTTGCCTTTATCTCACTTGTAGTCAAGAGTAAAACATCTCACTAGTTCCCTAGATTTTAAAGAGAATAATATTTAACTGTGGCCACCACAAGATGAAACCTACTGACTGAATAAAAAGGAGTCCCTGACAAACTACCCAGTAAAAATGATAGTATATGCTCACAATTTAATATTAAATATTTAAATGTACATTTAAAAAGTACATAATTTCTGATAGATATCATAACCTCTTTTCCTTTTGTTTAAAAATTACTAGAACTATTACTAAAACTAGATTGTTTAATAATCAAATGTGCAACTTTTTTAATTGTTAATTTCTGTCGTCTATCCATTATGACATTATGAAATCCATATTTGGCGGCCATTTTCAATTTTTTTTAAACATATCTTATATTTGAAAGTATAAAGACCTTCTATGTGAAAGTGTGGTCATATTTACATGTATTTATGGTGAATTGTGTAATTGCATTTTAGGTTTCTGGCAGCTTTAAATTCATTTTCGCATTAAGAAATCCATATTTGGCGGCCATTTTGAAAAATGCCCGACATGGCCCCCAGGGGCCAAATTTTGAGCGCCTACGGTCCTAAATCTGATCAGACCCCCTTTGTGAGCCTTCGTACCAAATTTCATGCTTTTATCGCAAAGTGATCGATTCTGATGAAAATCTGCGCTTAGCCGCCCCACTAATGGTAGGTATGGTTGACTTAACTTCATTAGATACAAGTTCTCTATTAGTTATTGTCCATGAGTAAATTAATTCGGTGTTAACATGTTATAAAGCCACTGACAAATTGTTTTTGCTTTAAAAAAGCTGTGAACTGTTACGTGTCAGAACGTAAATGTTAAAGTGTTGAATAAGTGAGTGTGTGGGTTCTTGTTCCTTTAGCGTGTATGCTCTCTCTCCTTTCCCTTAATTAAGTGTTACAGGTGCAGCTGTTTTGGAGGGCGGGGCTGATGGACTCGTCGGATGGATATAAGCTGTGTGGAAGCTTGTGTTCCCCCTCCTGCTTCATGGTGTTATTGTGTGTGATCGCAAGAGTGAAAACTACGTGTTACAGCCATCTGGCTGCATAGTGTTTTTGGTGTAAAGTTAGTGTAAGCTGCATGTGTGCAGCAAGACAATTGTTAGCGGTATCACACTCGTAATTATGGACTTGTTTGATGGGAGCACACTTGATTTCTTTACATACAGACTCAAACATTATAGTTGTTCTTTAAACCAAAGGAATTTATTTAAATTATTCAAATAAATGTTAGAAAACTATTTTATAGTTCCAGTCCTTGATTCTGATTGGTTGAGCCGCGTTGGTCAAAGCTGATATAATACAATCTTATGTTAATTATTAATTTCCTGTTGAATATACTTCTTTACTTTATATTTGTTCTCTCTGTGGATGTGCAGTAAACACAAAGCTTTTGACCGTTTATTATAGCATAAATGGTCATATAAGTGTAGTTTCTCTACAAACAAGTAGTTGAGAAGACATCGCTGAAGAGGATTATGCTGTATGTAAGAAACGTGACTCTTTGTTGATTTGGAAGAATAAACAGTGATAAACTAACTATATGGATTTCGAGTGTGAGTAATGTTACAAGGCAAGAAGACTTAAAAACTTGTGGAATAAATAAAAGACATTCACATGTCCCGTACAATTTAACAAAATCTTCCATGTACTTATAAAGTTCAGGTTTCCCATTTCCAGCAAAAAGGGCAATCACAAATGGCTTATGGTTGGGGAGATTTTAGACAAACCCAAGTATTGGCCAAAATTGAGTTGATGAACTTCTAAACAATAGCAAGCGATCGACATTGATCTGAAGTTTAAGGCACATTCCGCTGGTCAAGTTACTGCGATATGCCTCTAGGGTCGACCTCATCGACGGCAGGATCCCAAAGTAGTGATATGTCCCGCCAGCCTTTTCTTGGAGAGTCATACTTCAGATTGTGTGGTCTTCAAAAGAGCATGAGCATCTAATGGCAGAGATGGGTGATGGCACTTAAGAATTCATAATAATTTGTTCAAAGCACTGTGTGTAACATTTTCTTTGAGTGCCCATGTTGTCAATTTATCTTCTAAATGATTTATATTTGTTTTACTCTCAGAATCGGAATCAAAGATCAAATACTCATCAGACAATATGCCTCTAAATCTATCTCTTCGACATCACATGGAAAATCCTCAACGACTCCATCTTCATAAATGACTCCATCTTCATCAATAACATTATCTCCATCCAGAACATTAAATTCAGACTGAATGGAATCCAATTGCTCTTTTACTCTTGCCCTGGATTTATGTTTCCAAGTCCAGTATGATGGTTCAATTGCCATGCTTCAGATATAAAAAGAAAAACAAAAAAAAGAGAAGAAATCAGAATCATGCTCCCAAGTCTGAATCACGGCACAAGTCCTACTGGAGTTTATTTCATCTCAACTTCTGAACTTCAAGACTCTTTTGCACAGTCGCAGAATTTAGTGATGCGTCTTTTTAACTCCCTCATAGGGATGTGCGGTATACCGGTATTGCAAAAATACTGGTATATAATACATTTCAAACGGTACAATATCATCATTTTGTTAAATTCGGTATTTGATGAGCTGCTGTTCCGAAGTTCTCCACTAGGCGGCAGTGCGCTACCGAAACTGATGTGAGTCACGCGAAACAGGTGCTGTGCCGAATTCCGACTCCCTGCCAGAATCTGACTCCCCTCGCGAGCACGCGCATGACGTCAATTTGTGCCGCCGCCACTTGCGAAAACAGACAGTAATCAGACGACGTAAGAAATTACATGATAGAAATTTGTTTGTTGATTTTTGATCATGTATTTATTCTTTTTTTTTTCCTCTTTGATCATATATTTGACCAAACTCGTATGATCTGTCAGATTTTTCGCTTGTAAAGTGTTTTTACTACAGTATTGTAAAACAGTGTTGTTTTTTTTGTTTTTTTTAAGCACTACAGTGTTTTTTGTCGTAAAACAATTAGTTTCGTAAGGGTAGCCTACACCAAAACATGAACATCATTACTAAATGGAATGCTGACAAATATGTCATTTGACTTTGCTGCCTGCACATTTTCTATAGCTATAAAAACTACAGTGCTGCAAAAACATACTTCCCTATGTAAAATAATAATTATTAAACCTCCTCACTTGTGCTTTTAAAATACTTGGTAACACTTTAAAATAAGGTTCATTAGTTAACATTAGTAAGTGCATTAACTAAACTAACATGAACTAATGATGAGCAATGCATTAGTTACAGTGTTTATTAATCTTTGTTAATGTTAGTTAATATAAATACAGCTGTTCATTGTGCGTTCATGTTAGTTCACAGTGCATTAACTAATGGTAACTAATACAACCTTTGATTTTAATAACGTATTAGTAAATGTTGGAATTAATATTAACTAAGATTAATAAATGGTGAAGAAGTATTGTTCATTCTTAGTACATGTTAACTAATGTAGTTAACTAATGAACCTTATTGTAAAGTGTTACCAAATACTTATTATTCAACCTGCACACTTTTTCTGCCAGGTAGTCTACAGGATGAGATGAGTCTCCAGAATGAGTGTCTTGTGTCTCTGACCCAGCTAAAGTGATCCCAGGGTGGGGGGGTGTGAATTCGGCAGGGCTGCCAAAATCATACCCCCCTATGTTAAATACTTACTATTGAATTTAAATTAATACAGTTTTTTTACAGGTAGTCTACAGGATGAGATGAGTCTCCAGAATGAGTGTCTTGTGTCTCTGTCCCAGCTAAAGTGATCTCAGAGTTGGGGGTGTGAATTCGGCAGGGCTGCCAAAATTATACCCCCCTATGTAAAATACTTACTATTGAAACTACACACTTGTGCTTTTCTGCAGGTAGTCTACAGGATGAGATGAGTCTCCAGAATGAGTGTCTTGAGTCTCTGACCCAGCTAAAGTTGTTAGGGAGGTTCAGACAACAGGACCCAAGAGCAGATCAATTTAGAACAGGATTTATTGTCAAAACGTTGAATGAAAACAATAAAAAAGAACATAAAATTATTGATAGCCGAGCCATCAAGTAAGAGGGCGAGACAGAGGCAAAATCCAAAGAACAGGCTGGGGTCAAAATCAGTAGCGGACCAACAGTATGAAGGATGAAGCAAAGGCAATATTCCAGGACGAGAGCAGGGGGTCAAAAACCGGGTGATCAAGCTGAGTCGAGATAGGAAATAGGCAAAAAAACATAAACAAAAAAAAATCAGAAAGGGCTTTAAAGGTTTAGAAGCAACCAAAAAAAAAAAGACTTTCAGGCAAGGGGAAAATGGTGATGCGTACAAAAACCAAGACACACTAACAGAGAAACAAAGAAAGAGAAGCATAAGTAGTTCATATCACCTGGCAAATAAATTGTAAGAAATGTACAATGAAGATTTCAGAAAAAAGAAAATTACCACCTCAAACCTTACATTAAGGTTGACAAACTGGGCAGATGTATGTTTTGTTTTTTCTTGTACGTTGAACACATCTGCAGTGAAACCAGCGTGGGCACATATCACAGCCAATCTAAACATGTTGACAAACACATTTTGAAGTCAAGCATAGGTATTTCTGTAATCCATATCAAACAATACTTACATGAACATTATTATATCACCTTCAATTCATATGATACATTTCACGAGTTCACACTCACTAATGATCAGAGAATAAAAATAGTTATGCGTATTTGGCGTGCTGTCCGGGGGGAGGGCTCCGAGCTCGGAAATTGGGCCCGAACCCAGAGTACTCCCCCCGTATCTCTGTTTAGGAAGATAATTAGGCAAGTGTGAGGAGATGGGGTGGTGGAGGGATGCTGAGAACAGTCGAGGAATAAGGGTGAGTCAACTGTGTGTTTTTATAGGCTTTACTTGTGCTGATTGAGTGAACCAGTTGATTACTGATTGCTGACAGCTGGCTGACTTGATTGTTTGATCATTAGAACGTGATCCTCCCGAAACTTGTTAATAAAACATCGATTCACGAGTTCACACTCACTAATGATCAGAGAATAAAAATAGTTATGCGTATTTGGCGTGCTGTCCGGGGGGGAGGGCTCCGAGCTCGGAAATTGGGCCCGAACCCAGAGTACTCCCCAAAAAGCAAAGTAAGTAAAGGACAGCCGCCTGCTTAAAGACCCCCCGAAAAGAGCGCAGAGATTGGCGGGCTGGCATTTCAAGGAGAGCCTGGTAGTTTTGGCTGGGAGAGCTCACGGTGTCCGAACGGGAGGGTTCTTGTGGCAAAGGTCCCGGCATCGGTAAGCCTCACCAGTCCTGAAAGAAAAACATAGATGCTTTACTGGGAGGGTTAGGCTATGTCCACTGGGAGGTCAATACTCGCTGGATGGAGGAGGAGATGAAGATGCTCGACCAAGGGAGCTCTTGCTGAGTCCGCTGGGAGATCAATACTCGCTGGATGGAGGAGGAGATGCTCGACCAAGGGAGCTCTCGCTGAGTCCGCTGGGAGATCAATACTCGCTGGATGGAGGAGGAGATGAAGATGCTCGACCAAGGGAGCTCTCGCTGAGTCCGCTGGGAGATCAATACTCACTGGACGGAGAAAGGGGAGATATGCATACCTGACCAGGAAGGCTATCTCTGGGTCCGCTGGGAGATCAATACTCGCTGGATGGAGAAAGAGGAGATACACGTACTCGATCGGGAAGGCTGTCTCTGGGTCCACTGGGAGATCAATACTCGCTGGACGGAGAAAGAATAGATATAAATAATTGACCGGGAAAGCTCTCGCTGTGTCCGCTGGGAGATCAATACTCGCTGGACGGAGAAAGAGGAGGTATAAATACTCGAACGGGAAGGCCATCACTGGGTCCGCTGGGAGATCAATACTCGCTGGACGGAGAAATAATAGACATAAATAATCGACCAGGAAAGCTCTTGCTGTGTCCGCTAGATCAATACTCGCTGGACGGAGAAAGAGGAGATATAATTACTCGACTGGGAAGGCTGTCTCTGGGTCCGCTGGGAGATCAATACTTGCTGGACGGAGACAGAGAAGACATAGAAGCTCGACCAGGAAGGCTCTCGCTATGTCCGCTGGGAGATCAATATTTGCCGGATGAAGAACGAGAAGGCATGGAATGGATACTCGAAAAAGGTTTTTTTTTTTTTTTTTTTTAACCAATGAGGATTTGGTGGGCTTTTTTGACATGGAAACGATTAGTTCTGATATAAGTTTGGAACGCGTCTGAGGACCATCTTCCGAGCACTTGGATCTGTTGCTGAGAGAGGCCTTTTTGGGCTGCTGAGGTTGCTGCTCCAATGCGGAAGGAATGACTGGAGAAATTCTCTGCTGGGATGCCTGAAAGTTGGAGAACAGATTTTAGGTGTTTTTGGAACCAAAAGCGCGTCACGGGTTTGTTAGAATCGTCGATGAACAAGGGTTCGAGAGGGGATTTTGCATGAGAGTTTCTCAGTTGGAGGTAGGCTAATATAGTTTGGAACGGTTGAATTGGTGACGAGAGGTTGAAAATATATATGAAGTGGCCTTTTTTGGTTTGGTCTGTTTTGCTCTGTTTAATCAGAAACGAGATTGTTTCGTTGTCAAGCACTGAGAGATCTGAGATGTTTGGGTGGATTTTTGGGTCAAATCTGGAAGTGATAGCCAGTTCAGAGCATCTTAGGAAACCAAAAAAGGCTAGAATGAACATGGCGTCGAGTGTGCGGGAGGTATTGAGGGATCGGTAGCCTGTGCGGAGGGTCTGAATGCATTTAGTGAGAATATCTAAAGTTATGGGTTGTCTGGTATCCGGGCGGGTGGGCTGGGATCGTTGGATGCCTTTAATCAAGAGGGAGGTTTGTGAATTATTTATTTCCGGAGAGGGGGCGCCGTGGATCAATTTGTGAAAAAATTGGATGCCACTTAAATAACTTTTGATGGACCCGACTTGGAGGTTTTTGACGCTGTCAAGGTAAGAGATAAAGGAGGTTATTGTAAGGAGGGAAAAATCAGGGAATGGCGTGTTATAAGAAAGGTGGAAGGCTTTAAAACATCTCCATGCGGTCACATAGGATTGGAGAGTTCTGGGGGAAACAGCTTGGAGAATGGTGTCGAGCGATCTGTTGAGGAGGGATTTTTGCGGGTGAGTTATGGGAATATTAATTCCGAATAATGAGGTACTGGAGTTGGGAGCTCGTCCGCCTCTGGAGCCAGCATCCTGAATTTCTGAAACATAAAGCGAGACAGAGAGTCAGCAATTTGGTTTTTTGACCCGAGGATGTGTTTTGCGATTAAGATAAATTGGTCACATGCGGAAATCCAGGTTAGACGTCTTAAAAGTGGCATTAGAGCGGGTGCATGGGAACGGCCTTTATTAATGCACTGGACTGTAGCTTCGTTGTCACAATGCACTACAATGCTGCTAGCAGTCCATTCTTTCCCCCACAGGAAGGCTGCTACTACGAGAGGGTAGAGCTCGAAAAATGCAGAGGACTGAAGCGTGTCCTGTATTTGGGGGGGCCACGTAGACGCGAACCAGCGACCTTGGTAGAACCCTCCAAAGCCAACAGAGGGGGCTGCATCTGTGAACAGCTGGATGTCGAGGGGGGAGGAAATTAGATCCTTATAGAAAAAGGATAGGCCGTTCCACTGTTTAAGGAAAGTTATCCATAGCCCGAGTTCGTCGCGGCATGCCGGAGTTATGGAAATTAGATCCTCTAGTGCGTGGACTGAAGACGCGAGAAAGAGGAGATGAGAAATAAAGGGCGGCCTTGTGGAATAATGCGCATGGCGAAGTTTAAGTGGCCGAGCATGGATAGGAGTTCGCGTTTGGAACACTCTGGACTGTCCGCGAGGGTAGATGAGATGAGGATTATCCTATCAATTTTCTCCTTGGGCAGGGAGGCCTGGAATCGAACTGAATCTAGATTAATGCCAAGGAACTCGATGGATGTAGCGGGACCCATGGTTTTTTCCTGGGCGATGGGGATTCCGAGCTCGGAAAAGACTTTTTGAACTGTGAGGATCTGGGCTGCTGGAATGGCGCCAGGAGGCGAAATTATTAGAAAATCGTCCAGCAGGTGAATGAGGTGAGGAATTGCGTAATTGTTTGACAAGATCCAGCAAACGGCTTCAGATAGCATGTCGAAAATTTTGGGGCTGCTTTTGCATCCAAAAGTTAAGCGTACGGCGAAATAAAATTTCTCATGCCAGCGCACGCCGAATAAGTGCCATGAATCCGGGTGGATGGGCATCACTTTAAAAGCTGAAGTGATGTCAATTTTAGCGAGCCAGGCACCCCGACCCACGATTTTAATCAGGTCGATTGCGTGATCTACGTCGTGGTATTTGAGAGAAAATTCGTTGAGTGGGATCAGGCTGTTAATGCTTGGGAACATGGACTTATGTGGAGCTGACAGATCGACTATGAGGCGTTTCTTACCTGAAAACTTTCTCGTAGCCACTCCAATGGGGCTAATGCGAAAATTTTCGAAAGGAGGCTCGTCAAAAGGGCCGATCATAAAGCCTGACTCGACTTCTTTTTTAATCAGGTTGTCTACCACGTCGGGCTCGGCGAGAGCCGATTGGAGATTATCGCAGATGATGTTTTGGGAGAGCGGACAAACCACTCCAGGTTTAAAGCCGTGTAGTAGGCCAGACAGCAGATATTCGGTGAATTCGGAGTCCGGGTGGTGAGCTAGTTCGATGGAAAGGCGAGAAATATTCACAGGAGTCGATAAATAATTTCTAGATTTTTTATTGACATCTTTATATACAGGGCATACGGGACGGGCATGAGCACCGCCGCAAAAGCTGCATATGTGCAAGTACCGACAACGCTGCCTGGTGCATTTGCCAATGTTAAAATTGTTGCAAGGCTGTTTGTTGTCTGTGAGTGCTCTGGAGCTGAATTTAGCCTCGTGAAGGTTGCTAGTCGCCGGTCTTGGTGTGTAGCTAGTGGATTTGACTGGAGCTGTTTCAGGGCGTGGAGAAACGAAGGGGTTAACTTGGGGACACGATGTCGTGGGATGCGACACTGACCTACAGACCGCGCAGGAAATATTCCTGCAGCCGAGGAAGACTCTACTGTGTAAGTCAGTGTCTAGTGCTCCCCAGTAAGGGCATTGGTTCCACTGAGAAACCCTAATGGCGCATTTTGCTGAAAAGAGTTTGTGGTAAGTGTAAAAGTGCCCTCCCCCGTAGGACAACGCGAGCTCGGCTATCAGTGCTAAATTGGCGTTCAGTTCGTGTTGCCTATGGGGGAAGGCTGAGCAAATGATGTCTGTGTAGTGGCTGAAAGCAATTGAAAACTCTGGAAAAGAAAGTAAACGTGACGAATGTCCCCGCAGTCTAACTGACGGTTGGAATCGGATACGGGAAAAAGAGAAAGTAAATGCGAGAGATCTACATCCGCACCTGCCATAATCTGTGCTCGGATGTTTTGAGTCACCGGGGGAGGCTCCAGAGCGACGGCGTTTGGTGGAACTGGCATCGGGGAAGCTGTGAAAAGAGAATATTGTGATTTGGCATTTAGAAGAGAGCTGTAAGGGAGAGAAGCCTGGGCTGCGACTGTCGGCGGAGGCAGCCTCACGCTTAGGTCGGCCTGTGGGGCTTGAGAAGGAAGATTGAAATAAGCACCAGAGGGAAAAGGAGAAAATGGATGAGATGCCTGAGCCTGTGTTGCAAGCGGAGGTGGTCTTGCGCTTGCTTGGGCTGCAGGCCACTGAA